CCGCCGCACCACTGCCGCCTCCTCCTCCGCCGGCCGGCTGCAACACAGTCAAGTTTGCCGCCTACGAGCTGAAAACACAAACATCGGGGCGGGAAGACGGCATTGTGCAGAGGCGACGTCTCCTCTCGAGCGCTAGCTGGGAGACAAGAACACGCACTCCGCTTCTACGGGTTGCAGCCTTGAGGAGGAGCTGCTCGGCCGCCTACTCACAAGCAGCCGGGTGTGAAGAGACGCTGTTCACACGCCTCTCAAGGCTGCTCGGCCTCAACGCTGCTCGGCCGCCTTTGCCCCTTGGCCGTCCACGAGCACCGCAAAGCGGCTCTTCTCAACCACCCACATCTTGGCCACGCCTTCCCGCCCGTTGAGGTCCGGACGGGCGCTGAGCCCTATCGAGAGCAGAGACGCGCGTCCGCACGCGGACGTCCCTCTGTCTTCCGGGCGAGGCCCCGCCCGTGCGCTGACTGCCTCCGATCCGCACACGCGCGAGGAGGATCCGCCGGATCTCAGGAGATAGGCTGGCGTCCGCGAGCTGCCGCGCCGCCTCCGCCGCCTCCCGCCGCGCCACGCCCTCCGCCGCCAGCAGCGCCGCCTCGCGCTCCGCCCACGCCGCGTCCTGCGCGCGCGTCACCGCCTTGACTGCCTTCTCCACCTCCGCCGCCGACTGGCCCTTCTCGGCCGCCTCCGAAGCCGCCTGCTGCCGCGCGCGCATCTTTTGCTGCCACGCCTACGGGCCGAAGGCGCCAACATGAGGGCGGGAGGACGGGATCGTGCAGAGCATTCAGAGCACCGTGCGAATACGAGGGGCACGAATGCAGCGGAGTACAGCGGGATACGGTCGAATAAGGTTGAGTACGTGTCCTCTCGAGCGCTGGTTGGAGTACAAGAATACGTGTTCCGCTTCTAGGCTGCCGCGCCTCGGCCTCGGCCTGCTGCAGCCGCCGCTGCGCCTCGAGGCGGCGCTTGATCTCGGCGGGCGAAACGCCCGCCGCCTCGGCCTCGTGGTGCGTCTTTTGCATCGCCGCCTGGTGCTTTGCCTGCAGCCGCTGCATCTGCTGCTGCCACTGGGCGCACGCCTGAGAGGGGGGGGGGGGGCCTTCGGTCCCCCGCGGGCAGCTGCGCGCATAGGACACCAGCGTCTGTCCCACACACGCACAGACACGCACATCATGGCCCGGGCACCCCCCCCGGCAGTGTAGTGGTGTGAGCACACGAGTACTAGCAGAGGCGCACACGCCTGCACGCGGGCCTTTGCAGCCTCGGGCGTGAGGCCCTCTGCTATCGCCTCCTTGTACACCTCCTCGCGCTCCTGCAGCATCTGCCGCTGCTGGCGCATGTACGCCGCGTGCGACTCGCGCACAGACGCGAGCTGCGAGCCGATCTCCTCGCGGCTGCACCCCTGCGACTCCATGTCGGCCTGCACCTTTTGCAGCGCCGCCTGTGGGCCCCAAGGGGGGGGGGCGGGCGGGGAGGGGCGTGTGGGCAAAGCAGGCGAGAGGAGGGGAGGGCTGGAGGGAGTGAGCGTCGCCAACTAGTGCGGGGCGCGGGCCTCCACACACACACGCGCGCGCGCGCGCGCGCACCCACACACCCACCACCACCACCCACCACCACCACCCCCACCCCCACCAGCACGAGGGCACAAGTGCGCGGGGAGGGCGGTGCTGCAGCCGCCTGGAGCTCCTTCTCGCCCTCGCGAGCGAGCAGCGACATCGGCGACTCACCGCCGCCGCTGCCGCCGCCGCCGCCGCCGCCCTCAGAAACCGCGCCGCCGCCGCCGCCGCCGCCGCCGCCGCCGCCGCCGCCGCCGCCGCCGCCGCCACGCGTCTGCTTCGACGGGGCCTTGGCGGGCGCGGCCTTGGCTTGCGCCGCCGCCGCGTCGGCCTCCTCGGCGGCCCTCTCCGCCGCCGCCTTCTCGTACTCCCTCCGCGTCTGCCACTCCTGGAAGCGGAGGAAGAGGTACCCGATGCCGACCACGACGCCCGTCAGCAGAAAGACGATCCCGTACGCGAGCGACATCGGGTCCTGGCGGCGCGGCTCGTAGTTGGGGACGCCGTACGAGAGCACGATCTCGACCGACGAGTCGACGCCCTTGAAGATCGAGATGATGATGACCGCCGCCGTGGTGAGGAGCTGCACCCAGAAGGTCGTCCCGGTCGGCGGCTTTCCCCACGGCTTGAGCAGCTTGCCGATCCGCTTGTAGCGCGCCCGCGTGAGCCAGCGGCCGTCCTCCTCCTCCTCGGGCTGGGCCGCCTTCTTCTTCTTCTCGGACTTCGGCATGGGTTGCCGCCCAGGGATAAGCGAGGGAGCACGCAACGCGAGGAGCCCGAGCTCGGCAAAAAAAAAGACTGTTTCTTTGCCGCGGTGCTGCTGCTGGCCCTCGAGCTACCGCTCGACGTGGCGCTCGAGATTGGGCACGAGGAGCGCCTCCCGGCGCTCCGCTCACTGCTCGAGAGTGCCGGCGACGATCCACGGCTCTTCTTCTTCCCTCGCGGCAACACCACTTTCCCGGGCGCCCCAGTGCCGATGGGCTTCGAGGCGGAGGGCGACGACGGCCCGTTCCTCTCGATGCGGCTGTCCAAGGACGCGCTCTCGGTATGGCAGTGGCTCGTCGTGCTGCGGACGATCGCGACCCTAGCCGGCTACGCACTCTATTGCGGCCATTTGTCGCCAGCTTCCTTTGCACTGCCGCCGCTGCTGACGAGGTCAACGACCGGCTATGGTCATAGTGGCGGTGGGAGGTGAGAGCTTTTTGCCTGAACACCGAAATGTACATGCGAAGAGTGTTTTTGTCGCCAACCCTCGGCACCTCGGCATGCGTTGGACCCTGTTGGAGCCTGTTGGCACTCTTCCTGGTCCTGCTCCTGCAGCCAGCCCCCACCCTCTGCGCACCGCTCGCAGACGGTGCCGATGCCAACGCTCTTGAAGGGTGCTGCGCAAGCTGGCTGGCGGGGATGTGAGTGTAATCACACACTTGAAGCATGGCAAAAAAAAACTTTTCCCGCCCGGAAGAATGCTCGCGCTAAGCCGCCACGCTTGTCGGCTGCGATCGGCACGGCATGCTCGGCTCTCATCCAGCCATTTGGGCGCGCACGGCAGCCTCGCCGGCGTGTGGAAGGTGAACCTGACCCCACGGGTGCCCGGAGCGCGCGAGGGCATGCCCAAGCGGCTGCGGCTGCTCGAGGGCGACAGCGATGAGGCTGGCGGTATCGAGGTGCCGTACATGGACTGCACCGCGGGCGGGTGGGCGGTGACGGAGACCGACGATCCGGCGGCGGTGGACGGGAACCGTCGCGTCGTCATCGACGTGACGCTCGCAACTCCGCCGCACTCGTTCCGCTTCGACGGTTTGTTTGATGGCGAGCGCATCGCAGGCTCGGTCAGCGCGAGCGAGGCGCAGGGTAGCGAGTCAGGCGAGGCGACCGTCCTCGGCGACTTTCTCTGCACGCGACTGTTTACGTTTTGGGGCTCGCCAAAGCCGAGGGCCATCGACGTGACGTGAACCAAACCGGCCGGATGCTTCCCCTGACTTGCCGGCGTCTCCCAGGTCCCCAGCGGTGCTGGGCGCCGTTCCCTGGCGGAGCGTTGCGTGCGTGTGTCATTTTGTGCGCCGCGTCCCGATAGGCCCGTGGCGACACTTCTCGCAAACTGTGGCGGGTGTTTGCGTTGTATCCGCCGTTCTCTCTTGCGTCTCCGTGTCGCTGCCGTCTCGCGTCTGGTCGTAGTGGTACGTCGGGAGCCGGGACACACTGGCTGTGCCTGTCCCAACTCCCATTGCTTCCTGGCCAGAGCAGCCCGGTCCGGGCCAGAGCTGTGTGTGTTGCTTTGTCGATTCAAACCCTCTTACGTGCCCTCCCACTCACACTCACTCACGAAGTCAACCCGCGTCGTCACCCCTGCGGGGACGGCTCCGAGGAAGTGTACCGCTGCCCGACCGCAGCGTAGTCGACGGAGGGCGTGTATTCGCGCGTCGCGGAATAGTCAACCTGCGCATGGGGCAAGGGAGTAGGCACGGGAGGGCGCGAAACGCGCCCCTGCGCCCGTCGCTTTGTCCGCTCTTGAGCGCGGCATGGCGGGCCAGTGGATGCAGGGAAATGGGCATGGCATCTAGGGCGCCGCCGCCGTCGACGAGTAGTCCGCGGTGCAGGTGTAGTCGCGGGTGGAGGAGTAGTCGTTTGACGCCGTGAAGGCTGAGTGCGCAGAGTAGTCGAGGGTGGAGGTGTAGTCGTTTGACGCGCTGTACTCGCGCGTGGAGTACGTGTAGGGCGACTCGCCCGCCTGCGAGGCCCGGGCGACACGCGGGCGCTTGCGCGGGCGCTGTTCATATAGACGGTGCGCGATAGATCTGGGGAGGTCTCGGAAGGGGCTCGGAAGCGGCGCGCCTCGAGCTGACGCGCGGTGCGCTCTGCGTCGTCGTGCGAACAGGACTCGCCGATGCCGGCAAACTCGCGCCGGCAAAACGGGCAGATGCCGTTGCAGAGCGGCACGCACTCGCGGCACATCACCGCCGCGCAGCAGCGCAGTATCCGCGCGTCCATCGCCGACGGCTGCTCGAGGCAGACGGGGCACTCGGGCGTGTTGCCCGTGGCGATGAGCTCCGCCGCGGCGCGCAGGCGGCGCACGGCGGCGGCAGACTCGGTCTGGGCGGCCGCGGAGGAGTCTTGGGCGGCCGAGGAAGCTGGTTGCGCGTCCGCCATGCGCGGTATTCGTCCTTTCGTCCTTTCGGAAGAATTCAACGAAAAGAACTCTCTGTATTTTCGACACAGGTACGCCATCCCTCCCTTGGGTTGTCTGTTTTCTTTCTTTTCTTTACACAGGTACGCCACGGTACCAAAAGAGGCACAGTCGCGGGGGTGCCTACTTTCGGAAGAATTTGCGTATGCGGCCGCTTTGTCCTTTGATGTCGCGTTTAGCAGGTTGTCGCGGTCGGAACGCCTACGCTCTTGTGCCGCAGCAAGCTCAGCCCGCGCCGATGCGAGCGCCTTCTTCACAGCGCTCGCAGAGCGCTGCTCAGAAGCGAGCTCCTTGGTCTGTGACCGCAACTTCTCTTCCAACTCCTGCCGGAGCAGCACCTCAGCACTCGCACTACTCGCGGCTGCATGGATGTCCGAGACATTAGCGTGTTTTGCGCGTCTGTGCTGACGAGAGTGCGGGAGAAGCTACCCTTGTGCTCCGCGGAGATTACATCAGCGGTAGCTGCCTGGGGACACAACAACATTGCTCGTGGCCGAGCTGGCATAAGCCGCCGCACCAGCCTCTGCGGCTGCAGCGGTGCTTCGGATCGCGTCGAGCACTGCGCCTGTATCGTGCTTGAGCATGGCCTCGAGCGTACTGAGGTCGGCTGTCCCGAGTTCGTTGAGCAGACCCTCCAGCACAATGCTGAGCTGCGTCGGTGCCATGTGTCGACGTGTCCAAGGGAACGGACGTCGCCGAAGGCCTTAGTTCACGCCGAAAAGTACGTCTAACGCCTCCTGCTAGCTGGGGCACGCTCCCACGCGGCTGGGGGCCGCAAACCAGCTCGATTAGGGCGCTTTTCGCGCGATTTTACGGAATTACGGATTGGAGGGGGGTGGCGGCACATAGGGGGAGGGGGAGACGCGCATCTACGAATCAAGTTGGTGCCGGGTGGCTCAATTGCGCCGCGTGACGACCCGCCCGACCGCGACCCCCCCGAGGCGAGGTGACCCGCGGTTCGGCGCGTGCTGACGAGGCGGCGCCGGTGCCGGTGGCGTTGTTTGCGGCCCAGACTCACACAACCGCCCAACGAAAGTTGAGGAAGAGGCCGCCCTGCCACCGAAGAGTATGCCAACGGCACTTCGAGGGAGTTTCGATGAACGTTACGTTGAAATCGACGACCTCGATTTCACCAGGCTCAAATCAGTCGATTGAAATTTCATGAAATTTCATGAAATTTCATTTCAGGAAATTTCACTCCAGGATTTCCACGCAACCGGAGGCATGTTGCTAGGATTGTGAGCCAACTGCTCGCAATCCTAGACTTTGCTCGGATTGTGAGCGCGCTGGTAGTAGTCGTAGGCGTCACCAGTCACCTTGGGAGCGGAGCTGCTCTTAGTCCTAGAAAGAAAGAAGACGTAGGATTGCGAGCGTGGGTGCTCACAGTCGCACAGAGATGCTACGATTGCGAGGAGTGCTGCTCACAATCCTTCGACTTCTAGGATTGAGAGCGAGGCTGCTCTCAATCCTAGCGGTCTAGAAAAGAAGTTCACCGCCAGAAAGCATGGCACGCGTTTTTCTTGCTTGACTTGGCGTTTGAGGGACCGGGCATCCCGAGCTCTGCTCTGCTCCGCTCCTCGCTCCTCGCTCGGTGAGCTGTCGCCCACCAGCGCGCGGCGCTCGCGCGCACACCGTGCCCGCCGGCTCGCCGCCCTCCTCACCACCCGTCGGCGCTGTCCGCAGGCATGTGAGTCAGAACGGCGACCGCGCAGCGCGCGCGGGTGTCTTGCTCGCCGTCACCCTCTCGCCCCCGTTCCGTGACCGCCGCCGCCCGCGCCACCGCCGCCGCCAACACCGCCTCGCGCCTCGCGCCTCGCCCTCGCCGCCCCCGCCGCCCGCCCTCGACCTCGCGACGGCGTCCTTCTGGGGATCTGCGGGTGGCTTGCCCGCCTCGCCGCCGCCCCCACTCTCGAGCAGCGCGACCGCTTCCGCTCGATCGGTGAGCCGTCGCCCGCCACGCGCTCTCACGGCGACCGTGGGCCGCTCATCGCCTCCGCCTCGTCGCAGGTGTTTGATCTGGGCAGGAAGCGGCGCTGGCAACGGCAACCGGCAGCCGCGTGCACGGAGTGCTAAGCGAGGTGCCTGTGATTAAGTCTGAGTAGCCCGTGGCCGTGAGTGGCGTCAGGGGCAGTGTTCTGTGACTGTCCTGTGCGTGCTGTTCAGTGTGAGTCGGTGCAGCGGTGGGCCTGCTGCCGCTGCCAGACGTGAGAGCCGCTGTCCGTGCCCCAGCACGTTGCGCGGAGAGGCTATAGGGCGCCCACCCACGAGTGCTCGGGTGGGCGGGCCGCGGGTGTGCGAGTAGTAGTGCAGCGGCCGCGGCGCACAGCCGGGGGCGGCCGCGGCGCACAGCCGGGGGCACGGCCCGCCGCGCAGCGCTCGCCACACCGCGAGCGTGTTGTTTTCTTTTGTAACGTGCGTGTACTTCTTGAGTTGTTGAGACACGCGCTGTTCAAAATATGCGCGCGTCTTCTGAGACACGCGCTGTTCACAGTATGCACGGCGCGTCTTTTGAGACAGCAACGCCAATCGGAGATGCCGCGAGCAATTCGGGATGCGCGGAGCAACTAATATGGACTCGCGCATCTTAGGATGCTCGAGCATACCGAGGACAGCGAGCGTCTAAGTAGGAGGCCTACTAGACGCACTCTAATCCAGAGACGCATTCGGTAAACAAAGATGGGGGGGTCGCCCCCCCAGACGTCACCGCCGGAGCCGCCTAAGCGACTCCGTTAAGAACGGCAATGCATTCCGCACCGTGCACAATGCCGCTCTCCCCGCACGCTAGCTCGTTCACCGTCTGCCACGCCCCACGCCACGGCGGTGTGGAGGACGACAGACAAGCGCTGCATCTGCAGCCCGTGCCAGTTCTTGGTTGTCCATGTGACCTCGTCCAGGTGCTGAGCGTGCGAAAGTTTGTTGCTCAGCTGGTTCGCCGCCTCCCTCAGGGTAAGGATCCGTATAAATGTTGATTCTCGCCCCTCTAGGTATTGATATTGAGTATTGTCAGCCTCATCTCTAAGTATTGACAGTATATTGACATATTGATCGCTGATTTTAACCTCCAAGAGCACATTTGTCCCAAACATCGCCTAGATGTGGGCTGAAATCGAAAAAATCACGAGTTCAAAGCGATTTTTATGCGATTTAAGCGATTTTGAAGCGATTTTGGCCCGTTTTTAACGATTTAGAGCCATTTTCAAGCCCGGGATGGGCTCCCATATTGATATGTTGAGTCCAACCTGACGGTCCTGACCAGCCCAGGCCCAGCCTCTCCTCTAAGTATTGCAATATATATTGATATTGATCGCTTCTCTAAGACTAAGTATTGGAGCAATATATTCAACATTTATACGGATCCTTACCTCAGGGTCCGCTGCGAACCTCCTTTCCAAAGCCTCCGAAAGCCTCAAAATCAAACAAACGTAGATCGCAATCCTGCTCCCGCGCAAAGCGGTAATCGCCATCCAGCTCCTTGAGCTTTCCCTTGGGGGCATCCTCCTCCTCCCCCTCCCCCCCCTCCTCCTCGGCCTCCTCCTCCTCCCCCGCCACCGCCGCTGCCGTCGCTCCCGACGGAGACCACTTGCCGCGCCCTTTGACCAACTTGAGCAGCCCGGTCTCCGTGTTGCCAAAACGCACATAGGCCCCCTTCCAGCCGAGCTCTCCGTCGCCGGCCGTGTCCTTGCCCTGGCTCGCGAGCGAGCTCGTGAGCTTCAAATCGGCAACAAGGCGCCTGTGCCCCCTGCCGATGTTTGCCGCCGCCACGTCAGGTTGTTTTGGATTACTGTAACTGAGGTGTGCAGTCGGCTCCATCTCGAGAGCTTTAAGAAGTTCCTCGCACAACACTGCTCCCGTTCCGAGGCAAAAGAGAACGACGCGACAGAGGAGGAAGTGACAAGGGAGAGAACGACGAGAGTGGGACGACCGCGAGGTGGCATGAAGGTTGCAGCGAGAAGCGGCGAGAGACTGCGAAAAGAGATAGGAAGAGGCAGACTCCCTAGGGTGGGCGACGGCTAGCGCATCACATCACCTCTCCTTAAAATCCCTGTGTGGTGGCGGCGTGCCGTCCTCCCATCCCTCCCTTGGGTTGTCTGTTTTCTTTCTTTCTTTTTTGCTCCCGTTCCCCTGTGTCCCTGATCGTCCTTACAAGATCCTGCTCGCGCAGGTGGGGACCCTGTCCTTTCTCCCACCCCTTGTTTGGTGTGTCCGTTTTATTTATTTATTTATGGGCACGGGACTGGCGCGAGGACGGCGGGCATTACGACTTCGTGTACGTATCGTGAAAAGAATTTTCACGTGGTCGTGAAAAGAATTTTACAACAAAACGTGAAAAGAATCTACGAGCAAACTCCAAGTGCTCCAAATTCACGAGCCGGAGAGGTCGCCCCCCACTGCCACACAACCTTCCCTGTCCGTGTGTGGAGACGAAGTTAACCTTGACTTACCTTACCTTTATTTGGTACAGAGAGAAGAGTAGGTGGAGACAAGGGAGCGTGAGTCGAGACTCAAGAGAGCAGGCGGTCCCTAGCAATGGCGGAGCGCCTGACGCTGTGACGCTGCATGCTTCCTAGCATGCTTCACCCCGAGCCCGAGACACGGAAGCCTCTCGTCATGTACTTGACGACGCGCCGAGCCTCCTTTTCCAGCGCCTTTTGCACGGCGTACTTCCGCACTTCAACAATGTCGACTACGTCCCTCGCTGGTCCGTCCCTTGCAGGCTTGAACGCGTGGGGGCCGAGTCGAATCGTCTGGCTCGCGATTGCGTGGGCTGCAATGGAAGGGAGCACAAACTCGTCTCGCAGATCCTTCGTCACGCGATACGCCACCATCGCAGGGACGATGTCGAAGCCTTCAAGCAGCTCCTCGGCAGCGAGGGACGAGCCGCTCATCGGGTCGCTCGCCTTGACGTACTGCATCACGTTGATCTTGCACGGAAAGTCCCAGCGAGAGAGCGCGCGCTCGGCGG